AGGAAGTGAAAGATGTACCATGAAAACTACAAGATACTCTTAAAAGAAATCAAAGAGGACAGTAAGAAATGGAAACTCATCCCATGCTCTTGACTAGGAAGAATTAATGTTGTGAAAATGGCCAAGCAATCTACAGTTTCAATGCAATCCCTATCAAAATACCAACAGCATTCTTCAACGAACTAGAAAAAATAGTTTTCGAATTTGTATGGAACAACAAATGACCCCAAATAGCCAAAGCAATCGTGAGAAGAAAGAATAAAGCAGGGGGGATATCACTTACCAACTTCAAGCTCTACTACAAAGCCACAGTAATTAAGGAAGTTTGGTGCTGGCACAAGAACAGACCCGACCAGTGGAACAGAATAGAGTCGGATATTAAACCAAACATATATGGTCAGTTAATATATGATAAAGGAGGCATAGACATATAATGGGGAAATGACAGCCTCTTTAACAGCTGGTGTTGGCAAAACTGGACAGCTACATGTAGGAGAATGAAGCTGGACCATTGTCTAACCCCATACACAAAAGTAAATTCGAAATGGATTAAAGACCTGAATGTAAGTCATGAAATCATAAACCTCTTAGAAAAAAACATAGGCAAAAATCTTTTGGACATAAACATGAACAACATCTTCTTGAACGTATCTCCCCAGGCAAGGAAAACAAAAGCAAAAATGAACAAGTGGGACTATATCAAGCTGAAAAGTTTCTGTATAGCAAAGGGCACAACCAATAGAACAAAAAGGCATCCTGCAGTATGGGAGAACATATTCATAAATGACAGATCCGATAAAGGGTTAACAAACAAAATATGTAAAGAGCTCACCCACCTCAACAAACAAAAAGCAAACAACCTAATTAAAAAATGGACAGAGGAGCCGAACAGACACTTCTCTAAAGAAGAAATTCAAATGGTCAACAGACACATGAAAAGATGCTCCACATCGATAGTCATCAGAGAAATGCAAATTAAAACCACAATGAGATATCACCTCACACCAGTAAGGATCGCCACCATCCAAAAGACAAACAACAAATGTTGGCGAGGTTGCGGAGAAAGGGGAACCGTCCTACAGTGCTGGTGGGAATGTAAATTAGTTTAACCATCATGGAAAGCAGTATGGAGGTTCCTCAAAAAACTCAAAATGGAAATAACATATGACCCAGGAATTCCACTCCTAGGAATTTACCCTAAGAAAGCAGCAGCCCAGTTTGAAAAAGACATATGCACCCCAATGTTTATTGCAGCACTATTTACAATAGCCAAGATATGGAAGCAACCCAAGTGTCCATCAGTAGATGAATGGATAAAGAAGATGTGGTATATATACAGTGGAATATTATTCAGCCATAAGAAGAAAACAAATCCTACCATTTTCAACAACATGAATGGAGCTAGAGGGAATTATGCTCAGTGAAATAATCCAGGCGGTGAAAGACAAGTATCAAATGATTTCACTCATCTGTGGAGTATATGAACAAAGAAAAAAACTGAAGGAGCAAAACAGCAGCAGACTCACAGAACCCAAGAATGGACTAACAGTAACCAAAGGGAAAGGGACTGGGGAGGATGGATGGGAAGGGAGGGATAAGGGTGGGAAGAAAGGGGGCACTATGATTAGAATGTATAATTTGGGGGAACACACAGAGAACTGTACAACACAGAGAAGACAAGTAGTGTTTCTACAGCCTCTTACTACACTGATGGACAGTGACTGTAATGGGGTTTGTGAGGGGGACCTGGTGATGGGGGGAGTCTAGAAAACAATGATACCAAAATAAAAAATATATATGTGTATACAGAGAGAAAGAAAACAGATCAGTGGTTGCCAGGTTTAGGATCAGGGAGGGTGTGCATTCTATCTGAGTTGGTAGCTACAAAATGCTATGCATGTTTAAAAGCTCACAGAATTGTACACCAAACAAATATTAGATTTGCTGAATTAAAACATTCAAAAATTAAGCAAAAATTTTAAAATCTATTTGCTTCTCTCAAACTCCTTACACACTCCTTCCCTCCTGTCTTGCCAATGGGTTTCAGCCCTGGGCAAGTTCCCTACGGATTCAGTGTGACCAAAGAAAATGACAGCAAAACGTTCTTGGGGTGAAAGGGTTATACCAACTTTATTTCCAGGTGGCAGGTCAGTCACTAAAATCCCACTCACTCAGAGCTAATCTGCATGCAGCGAGCTGGTCTCTGCCTCTGGGCCCCTTTGTCTACACAGTCGTCCCATACAGCCATCCTCTGGGCCTCTCTGCACAGATGTCCTGCACAGTCATCCTCTGGGCCTCTGTCCTCAGCACTGCCACCACTCCAGCCTCTGCTCTGCTCTCCAGCAGCCTTGCAGCCCTACCACCCTGTCATGCCTAGAGCACTGGGTGGAGCTCTTTATTATATAGAGTCAACAGCCACGTATTGCCCACAGGTGTTCTGTGAGGTAGTCAACCAGGACCAGGTAAGAATCCTGGCCATAGGAACTCTCATTTTATCCACACTCTGCTCTACCACAAGAGGTCTACTTCTTAAAACAAGGTCTCCCATATTTGGTGAGGTTTTTCTCCTGACCATCACATAAATCTACTCATTCCTTAGGAATTCTGCCCATTCTTTGGTTAAGGGGCATAAATATGCTGACAACTACTGAATACATATCTCCAGCCCAGAACTCTAGCTAGACCTGAATAACCAAATGCCTTTCAACATCACCCACACACAAATTCATTTTGTGTTTTGTTCCCTCTCCTTCATTCCCCACCCACATCTAATTAATCATCAAGGTGTGTTGACTGTACTTCCTAAATATCTCTGGAAGCTGTGCACTTTTCTCTATCCTGATTACCATGATCCCAAATCATGTTACCTGTATTACTGAAATAACCTCTTAACTGGTTTCCCTGCCTCTCATTTTGCCCCTTTCAGTCCACTCTCCATATTGCAACTAGAATGGTGAAAAACTTAAATTAGTGTAATATCTCTTTCAGTGTTCTCAGCGTAGCATGAATTCCTTAACACAGCTTACAAACGATTTCATGATCAGGCCCCTGTTCATCTCTCCAGGTTTATCTCTCATAATTCCCCATTGCAAAACTTCTTCTCCACTAGTTTTATTCCTGCTTTCTATGTTTGAACCATACTCTACATCTTTCAGTCCCGCAAACATGCCCCTGCTCTTTCCCACGATTGAGATGCTTCCTCAGCAACTTCCCACATTCTCCATCCCGGTCTCCTTCAAGGTGGCTATTGTCTTGCCAATGGGTTTCAGCCCAGAAAAAGTTCACTATGGATCCAATGAGACCAAAAAATGACAGTGGAACATTCTTGGGGTGAAAGGGTTTATGTCCAACTTTATTCCCATGGTGGCAGGTCAATCACTAGAATCCTGTCCACTCAGAGCTAGTCTGCATGCAGCAAGCAGGTCTCTGCCTCTGGGCCTCACTGACCCCACAGCCATCTCAAGTCTCTGTCCTCGGTGCTACGACCACTCCAGTCTCTGCTCTTCTGTAGCCCTGCAGCCACGCAGTAGCCCAGCGCACTGGACAGAGTTCTTTATAAAGAGTCAATAACAATGCATTGCCCACAAGAGTGTATGTAGTAAGTGAGCCAACGAGGGCCAGTGAGAATCCTTCACTTTCTCCGCAGCTATCTAATATTTACTCTTCAGGTTTCAGCTTTGTCTAGCCAGAGGATTTCAGCCTCGGGCAAGTTCACTTTGAATTTAGTCATACCAAGTAACAACAGATGTTGTGGGTAAAAGGGATTATACCATGCTTTATTCTCAAATCTAGTTCTACAATCACATCTGCTCCAGAAAGTCCACAATCCATCTCCATCTCTGCCTCTGGGCAGAGCTCTGTATATAAGAACACCAACAATAATGGCTTATTGCCTACACATGTGTAAGCATGCCTCTACTGCAGGTCAATTACATCATCAGGTATATTAGGGCAGGTGAGGATCCTGGCCATAGGAACTTCCATTTTCCTTACAAGCTTCTACATTATTTTCTCAGAGAATATCACTGATTGACCTCCACAGCTGAGCTATATGTCTCTTCTGGGTGCTACTATAATAACAGTATGAGAGTACTTTTTCTCTGTGTTGCAATAGTCTACTTATTTGTCTCTTATACTAGATTGTAAGCTCTTTGAGGGCAGTAACGATGTCTTGTTCACATTTTAGTGCCAGCCCCTAACAATTCCTGGCACATGGTAAGTATTCAATAAATATTTGTTGAATTAATGAGTGAATGAAAAGGAGGGAGGGTGGAAAAGCCTCTGAGATTATAGACATATTTTTTCCTTATCCCTTTCTATGTTTTCCAATCATTCCATAATGAATATAAATTGCTCTTATAATAAAAAAATACATAAATAAGAAGAAAACTGAAATCCCCCATAATCCCACCTCCACCACTTAAAGATGACTCATGTTAACATTTTGTTGTATCCTTTCCAATATTTTCTGAGTATATATTTTTAAACAATGAGAACATGTTCAGCTTTTAATTCTGTATTTTTCACTAATGCCAAAAGTAATTTCCCCCTATACCAAGGCATTATTTAATGAGTCCTTTGCTGTCCAACATTAATATTTCATCCAAATTTTTACTATTATGAATAAATGCTCATGTTTTTCCATGTGAATTTAAAAATAAATATTTGGGGGTTATCAAATTAGTATATATTTACTAGAGAAAATGTGGAAAATACAAGTAGAAAGTAGAATAAATGAAAATAAATTACTCATGCATTCACTATTTTCAACAGGTTAGTCTATTTCCTCCATTTTCTGGATACAATTTCTGGGTTCAAAATAATTATAACATTTTAAATACAATTTTCATCCTTGTTTACTTCACTTAACATTTTTCAGTGCTGAGCCATTCTCTTCACACACATACTTTTAGTGGGGGGATATTATTGTCAATGGATGTTACCACATGGCTATTTACAGTTGTTCAACTCACCTGTGAATTTTTTCTTTTCATTCCCAGGACCCTCTGTCTCCCATGAGGCTTACAGAGTTCATTGCTGGGAACCATTCTGATCACCAAAATAAATCACCATGGTGGATTGAAAGCTTCACAATTTGAAAACATTCCATCTAATACTTGCTGTGCAGATAGATGTTTCAGGACTGTACAAGTTATTTAATTTGCTGACTGAATTCATCAATCTGGTAGTGATTAATTCAAGTCAGTCTTCCTCTCTTTCTTTATTTCCCCCTCCCCAATCTGTGAAACCCTAAATATAACATATATATCTTTCCAAAAGCTCTTTTCATTCCTCTTGTCAAGTAAAGGGGAATTCAAAAGACTTCCTTGGAGTCTTTAACTTCCCTTGAAAAACTATTAATCACATCTGTACAGTCTTTGTGGTATTGATGGGAGTCAGTGTCCTGTGTATTTATAAGCATGTATATGTGCAGCATACTTACACAAAATTCTGCTGTGGTGTAAAAATCAGGGTTAAAACAATTTGAGATTTTTATTTGATCATGCTTTTCCCTAAATAACAATTTAAATATTTGCTGAGCTGTGAACACCATCCTGTATCAGACACCTAAATTCAAGAGAAAGATTCAACACACTGTGACCAAGGTCCTAGAATCGGGAATTGAAAAACAATGTAGATTCTGTTCTCTGTCATAGATGTATGATGTTCCTGAAAGCACCACAGCTAATAGAGAAGATCAGATCAGATTTCCACTTTATTAAACATATGGATTGTTGTTTTAAAGACTTTTAATGCTAGGCTATGGTAAAATTCTTCAATTTTATTATTTTCTCTACTACCTAGCTTTATTTTAGCCTTGATTAATTATTCTTATGATGAATGAAAAATTATAAGCCTAACTTATTGCCCAAAGGGTTTTTTAAGGGGCTTAAGGAAGATTTTCAGGTTTAATTGCAATACTGTTCATAAGGATAAAGTTTCACAGTTGAAATTAGCCTAAAGATTAGCACTGAAGATCTGTGTTTTCAGAGCAGGGGTTAATGTACAAATAGTGATAACCTATTAGTAATATGCCAATCCTTTCCTTTTTTTCTTTTTTTTATAGCTTCAGTGATAGCTCAGCTGTTACGATAATTTACATCTGTTTATGCATTTATTTATAATCAGTATTTCTTTTAGTCCTACTGTCTGAATCAATAAGATGGACACTAATGCTGCTTCTTTATAATAATACGTAAGAGTACTGATGGCTTTCATTTCTCAGCCAGTGCTATAGGGCCCAGCTGCTGACAATAGAAGTCTCAATTCTGTTACAGAGATCAGTGAGAGTTAGTGGCATGTTACAGATATCAAGGAGTTGAGCTCCTAGAGGGAAGTTAGGTTTACTAAATCATCTCCCCTAAAACCTTTTTGAGGAAAGATTTTGAGTAAAGAGTTGCCTGCCATAAATAATTCAATGTTCAGGAGCTGAGAAAGAGAGCAATCTAGCTACTTAAAGCAGCAAAACAATCTGTTTGTTCATATCCTCTAGGTAATCTTGATCAAGGTAAGACATTCAGAATAAATTAAACAGATTATGTCCAGCATTTCATTTGAGAGAATACTAGACATAATTGAATCTTCTGGGGCCAAGGACTGTTTCTCAAACTCAGATGCTAAGAAGCAGCCTTGAAGTCTACGGACACTGAGTTTCACAATGAAATCATGTATGTGTAGATGGGAATATTTTCCCCTTCCCCTCCCCCTCCAAAATACTCTCTTGTTCAGGTTTCTCTAGAAAGCTTGTTTAGTTTCCACATGGTCTTATGATGGACAGACTTTGCCTTCTACTTATGTAGAAATGCACCTTTCTTTAAAGATAGGGCCATACTTACTTAACAGCAAAGTAGACCTCAAAGCAATCTTTCCCTTTCCCACATCTCATTTCCTGCCAAGGGTATAGGCAGAATAGCTGCTAACTATGATTCAAAGTCAGGAAGGAATCTTTGATGCATAGAGTATATAAGCACTTAACAATAATAGAAATCAGGTCATAAAAGACAGTGTCAGGAAAGGACAGGGCAGCACTGGAAGCTACAAAGCAAAGCTGATTGTTTAATGTCTTGCAGACACACACTGTCTTCAAAAGGCCAAATAAATCAGGGTTTTACGTGGGATCTCAGAGAAATAAAGAAACCCCATTCCTATCTCAGCACCTTTATTCTTCTAGTTTAGAATCTGCTAATCTCCCTATCCATAGATCATTGAGTATTGACTACCATACATAGGTGTCCCCCACAATTGGTTGACTATTGGTAAAGACAGAGAAGTTTGTTTGATAACTGGTGTATCCTGACCTAGCTCCTTTGCTTGCTTTCCCTTGGGGCCCTGTCTAACAACCTTGTGGAATCTTCTTCTTCCCCATTTGCAAAATGAAGACACTCATTGTTGGAATCCTACAACTGAAGGGTGCTACGTAACTTTCTAGTGTTCTTTATATGTCTTTTATTGCAGGAAAGAAATGAAAAGTTTAACCATAACAGTATTTCTCAGCAAACCAGTATGCCCCATTCTTTCTTCCATTCTCTCATTGCTGAATTGTTCTTGCAGAGCTTAGAGTACTTTATTAATATTCTTCCATTCATTCCAACAATGTCCTTGAAAGAGACAGAATATAAATTATTTTCTCCATGGTATAGCTGGAAAATGTAAGGGCAAAAGAAATGAAGTGCCCTCCAAAAAGACATAGCTGCCTTAAGGCAGAACTCACAGTTATCTTGTCCAGTGCACTGTCAGAAATGACTTGGTTTCCCAGTACTGGAATTACCATGGAGCAGCTTAGAACACTGACAGCAATTAGGGCAGGATCACATTTTAAGAGTCCCACTTTGTCTGAAATCTGGAAGTATGCAATTTGTACAACTATTATTTTCTATGTAATAGAAATGTAATATGTGCCTCTTCCCGACACTGGCCCCATGTGGCACATATATTTCATACTACATGGCATTATCCAGTGCCATTATCTCCTCTCACACCCATAGAGCCCAATCTCAGGGCTGTCTTTGCCAGGAATGTGCTTCCCCATGTTTATGCCAAGTGGCACAAAGTATAGACATTGAGATAAGTGGAGATTTAAGTACAATCCTAGCAGGTATGTTTTAAGCATATTGAATATACATTATTGTAACGTGGACCTGAAATTTAGCATGGCCTAAATTCACAGGAATGTAACAGTCATGCAAACCCCATCCCTTTCACCTCTCATCACACATGTATGTCTACATGTATGCACACACATGCACTGCCCCCAAAGCTGGCTGTTTGATCATCAGAAGCAAATACTTTAACGGAATGGTCCTCTGTCCTCCTCTTTTAGAAAAAAATCCAACAGTCACTGCAAGTGAAGAACATTCCATTTATACATTCTAGAACCTTTGCTCCCAGAGCAGCTAAGGTACTCAGTAGGTACAAAAGACATGTTCTGTGCCTATGAGGCACAGAGGGCATCTAACAAGATTGTTAGACCTTTCTACAAGTCCTACATTCTTAGAAAATTCATGAGTTCCATAGGATTGGTAGGAAATGGTTTATGAGGTATGGTACATCTTTAACCATAGCTGTACTGTGCCTAATTAAATTATCTTTTTTTTGCATGCAGGTGTTATATAAAATACTAATGGATGGGTGGCTCCTAGTAGCATGCAACCTATGACTGTTTATTTCCCTTAAAGGGCTAAGGCTGCAGTGTTCAAAACTATTAAATGTGCTCTTTGTAGCAGCCTAGTATACGACCATCAGCAGAATGAGTTAAAACAGACAACAAATGCAATATATCAGAAAATAGATTCTTAGTAGAGAATGGTATTAAAGGGAAAAAACAACATAAGATGCATTCAAGGAATAATTTCTGTCACCTTGCTGGCCAAATCAGCAAGAGGACACAGCAAGAAAACTGGCACTGGGTCTTGGTAATATATGAAATGTATTGGAGAGACAGAAAAAGAAAGGCAGTGGGGAACCTCTTCAGTTAAGCTTAAGTTGCCGATTTACTACAAATCCTTTTTTCCACCAATCTGTTCAAAGTGATTGTATATAATATTCTTAAAACCATGTGTCTTGCTACAGAAATATCCACAAATACTGACCAACTTTATCTCCCTGTATTTTTTATTAAAAGTATATGCATAAAATTGTCACTTATATATTATGGTTTTGTTAAACAATATTAGTAAAGCCTAAAATTTCAGACCACTTTGATGGAAATTTCTATACATCTCATTTTATGGGTATATAGTGGAGTTTATTCACTCCTAGGTTGATTGGTATGTGTGACATGTAGACTTCTCTGTAACATATCTTCCCAAAAAAACCCTCCCTGTAATCAGTATTTCTTTCTTATGTTCTTACATGTATGTGAGTTGGGATATTAGCAGCAATGGTTTTTAGATAGAAAGCTGACTAGTCTAATGGTACTTAATCATGTTCATTTTCTGCTCAGCCTTACACATCTCTTGCCTTTCCCTCTGTTATTACAATAAATAAAATGTAAAAGAAAGAAAGAATGTATGTGCCTAAGGGCCATATGAACTCTGGTTTGCTTTTTTCTTCACTGAAGACTGTGTTTATTATTCTTCAGATACATGTCACCTGAAAAAAAGAATACAGTGTTCCTGAGAAAAGATCACAGGGTCCACTTGCTCATAAATTATACACTACCCTCAGGGAAACATTTGAAGAAGCCCTCATTAAGTAAGCCCCAAGTAAGGTTCCCCTCAATAGATGTACCATTTGCACAGAAAGTCCTTTTCAGACATAATGGAATAATGCCCCCCAGTTATCCACCAAGAAGGCAGAAGTCATTGAAAATGTAGACCATTGAAAGCTGAAGTTTAGAGCAGTCATGGCTGACCATGACTAAATAATAATGAAGAACTTGAATCACTTTGGAGAGGCCCAACCTGTAGGACCTCTTAGGGTCAGGCTTAACACAAACCCAGAAAGAAGTCTTTTATTTCAGTTAAGCTTATAAAAAGTTGCTTACTTTGTCCTAGGTAAAGACCTCAAACATCTCAGCTGAAATTCCATTTCATTTATTCCAATGTATCAAAGAGCTTGGATTTACATCACACAGTGTAAAAAAACTAAAATATTAGAAACAAAGGACAACTAATTTTTTTCTATATAAAAAAGTTTTAAAAGAGAAGACCTTTACACAAGAATCTTACTTGAGCAGAGGCTACTAAGGAAATTCAAGGCATAGACATTTAAAAGGAAACAAATGTATAGATATAGATATAAAGGTATACATATGGTTATACAGAAATGTGAAACATTGACATAGATTTTGTTATAAACAAGATTTTCAAATTAGTTTCTCACTATATACAGGGACTTTGAAAAAACTATTCAGTCTCTTTTTGAATATTAAAATATCCATTCTCATAGAGAAGCATAATGTTTGAATATTCAAACTTCTAACTTAGGTGGAAAATTTATGAAAGTAAAAAGCACAATTTAAGCAAAAATTTTTAAGTATTTGAATATATTTATGGTTTTGAAAGAATTTTCCTCATACATCTTTACTGAAGTATTAAAATCAATTTTGCATATTAGCATTGTATCAGACCCAGAGCCAAACAATGTTGGCAAACTCTAAAATAAATCTGGCTTATAAGAATTTCAATTAGCATATAGGAACTTCAATGAAAGTAAGATACAATTCACTATAGAGGGAAGGCAAAAGATTTACTATTGGAACATTAAAGAAAGTAGGTTACCAAATAATTGTCATTAATTTATACTTATCAATGCATTGTTATGCCATATCTAAATTACCCCACACAATCAGAAAGCACTTACTAGAGTAATGTGCTTTGGAGGAACCCAGTACAAATGAAAATCTGAAGTTGCTTCAGAATCACAAGTGTCTGTGTGGCAGGACTTCTGGGTGCTGAGGGCTGAGTGTTCTGTGGGATGTAAAAGCAAATCCAAATGAAATAATGAGGAAGATAAACCAAGATGAGACAGGAAACATTAACATTATAACCCCATTTTGATTATCTTTCCCCCTAAATTTTGAGACCTTCTATTTTCTACTTACATATTTTCCACCTATTAAAATTGTAATTTTGTTGGTAAAATTTATTTACCTCTTCCACGTCTATCCTATTAGCTGAGAAAACTTAGATTTGCATTTCTATCACTGCCGTTGCCTATCTTAACAGAGCCACCTGAAGCATCTATTTCTAAACATTATTTTTAAATACTTTCATTTGTCATGAACTCATGAAGTTTCTACTTATTTTTCACCTGAAATTTTGGACAACTTGAATTCAGCCAAAGTCATCAGAAACAACCTTGCCTTTATATGACTCTTTTCAAGGGGTATAGACACTACAGTCCTAATTGATAAATAAAGCAATGTACTTTTTATGGAGTTTTTTTATTGCTACCCAATCTGGCCTTCAAATCTACTTTAGGATATTAATTCTCACTGCCACAAGCTATCATCTTTGTGAATACTATTGTCAAGAATAAAAAGGGGGAATACTAGGAAAATAAGGAGAGAAGTTGTCTGAACTTATTTGGGGTTGCCTTAAACCAGGAACCCTAAATCTTATTTTGGTCATACACTCTTTTGAGAATCTAAAGAAAGTGTGTACACTTTCCACATAAAAATACATACACTTACACAGATAATTTTACAGTTTCAGAGGGCTTCCAGAAAGTCTGAAATAAATTCATATACCCTTGTTAAGAATTCCTACCTTAAATTGTGTCCCATTTTTATAGTCATCAAATAAGTGCACCTGTATGTGATACTGTGTTACATTATCAAACTGGGCTACAGGTAACCAATTAATGCAAAGTCTGTTACTCAGTTTATTATATATTTTTAGATGTTGGTATTTCTGTAATCCTCCACCCCATTATCTGAGGCCTTGGAGTAGTTGGATGAGCAACAGAATGGTTGTTGCTAAGTATATCAGAGAGATGGGCTGTGTACACAGAAGGTACTATATAAAGTCCTCAGACAACAGGAGACCAAATGTTTCTCATCAAATTAAAGGAGTCTTAAGATGACAGCTTTTGGAATATTTAGCTCATGGCAGTGTTACTTTTAGTGACACTGACATTGGTTTTTAAATGTCAGAAATGAGTTTTTTAAAAAGAATATTCTATTATAGCATTAATTTCTTTTTAAATTCCAAACCCATTTGTTTGAAATTTGTTGGACATTATAAGTTGTATGCCTAAAGTTTTAATAGCTCTTTTAATTGTATATGAATTAATGGTACATGGCAGTAGTTCTCAAAGTTGGGACCCTAAAGAACAATCCAGAAGAAGCATAGGAAATAATCTCTGGATCTTTGAGCCAGAAATAATTCATTTTGCCTCCAGCCAGGGTGGAAAAAATCTGGTAACTCATTGACCATGGGCTAGAGTACTCACAGGGTTTTATGTAGTGAGTAGTGGGGAAAATTATGCCTAAAGGGTGCTCTGTACCTGTTCAGCAAAGCTTAAAAACAGGCCTATGAAGATCAAAGTGAAGTGCACAAGTAACTTCACTATGCTCCACAACAAAACTCATGAATATTAATGGTAGAAAAAATATCTAACACCCAACAGGATGAAATTTGTAGTATCTGGCATCCAAAAAAAATTACAAGGCATTCAAAGGAGCAGTAAAATAAAACCAATAAAGGAAAGAAAAATTAATGGTAAAAACAGACCCAGAAGTGACAGAGATAAAATATTTTGTAGAAAAGAAAATGTTAGAAGTTATTGTGTCTATATTCTATATGTTCAAAAGGTAGAAGAAAACAAGCATGTTAAGGAGAAACATAAATGATACAAAAATTGAACTTCTGGAGTTAAAGATGAAAATTTTGCTGGATGGTGTTAACAGATGATTAGAAACAACAGAAAATGATCAATGAACTTGATCACAGAGGATACTTAGTTTAGAAACTATCTAAAATCAAGTAGAATAAAAAAACACTGAAATAAAAATAACAATCAGCAAGCTGTGGGACAACTTCAAGCTGCTTAATATAAGTGTAATTGTTCACCCTAGAAGGGAGGAGGCACAAAAACTTTCTGAAGAAATAATAGCCAAAGGAAATTAATTACAGAATAGTGATGTGGAGAACTCCACAGACACTCTCCTAGCAAAAGAACCATACCTAGTACAAACTAGTACAAATTATTTTTAAAAGAGCCATTTAAAATCTCTGTAAATATTCTGAGTAGAATATAGCAAATGAAGAAACAGTGATTCAAGAACATCTAAATTTCACTATTAACAGCAAGTCTATGACATTTGGAACTACAACCTGCTCCCTCCAAGTGCCCCCCTAACCAGGTCAGCATGTTGTAAGCTCTTCCCCAAGCAGGTGCAGCCAAAAACACACGACTCCCTCTCTCCCCATTTACCAGTGAAAGCTATGGTATCTTCCCTGGAGTGGCAGAACACCATTTTTCATCCCACACTAAGGTCTACATGGCAGAACCTCTATCTCAGGCAAGAGTGGCTTAGAAATTGGGGACTCTTCACCCACCAGCCCACAACTGTCAGCAGAAGTTATACCCCTGTCAAGGAAGACTTAGAATACCAGTGCCCTGAGCACCATCATGCAGGCTCACTCATTCATCAAGGAGGAGCAGCCAAGGCGAGAGCTCCAGGACAGGTAAGCCAAGAAGACCACAGGTTACTACCCTCAACCAGTGCCCTAGCCATAAAGCAGGAGTTTCATTCTCACAGCAATGGCACTTTCACTGCCAACTGTTCTGGTGTAGTAGTGTACAGCTTTTGCTCAAGATGAGTGGCAGGATGAAAACAGCTCAATGCTCTTTCCAAGAGAACAGAATTTATTTGGAACACAATGTAGGGTAATTCAATCCTAAGGGCACTCTTAAAAGCAATGGAAATTTTAGTGGTAAGCAATTAAGAGGAGGCTATACCTCCATTACAACAACAATATAAACTAAAGACCAAGTAAATGTTTAACAGAGAGAATCATAGAAGTAGACAACAAACAAGATCCAGTGTCAGGAACAAACTTAAAAAACTGATTTCAAAGACTACTATTTTAAAAAATACCCAAATTTAATTGGACCAGACTCTAGAACAATTTATGACTGAAGTCACTGATTTTCTAAAAACAGAGCAATTAGCCAGAACTGTAGAGGCTAACAGCTGGGAATCATACTAAGCTGAACAGAGATCAGAGAAAGAGATAGGAAAAAAGAGCCCTGCTAAAACTGTGTCATCCCATCAGACTGTATGCATGCCCAAGGCTGTATGCTCTAAAGAGAGACACCAGACACTTCACATTACAGGGGAAGTAACTTCACTAAAATATTCTAGCCAAATCTCTAAACTAAAAAATGAGGAAAAAAAGTCACAAAGGCAGAGTGATCAGTTATCCCTGAGTTACTACAATGTATTTTCATAAATGTCCAATTTTCAGTAACAAATTATGAAACGGGGAAAAAAACTGAAATTATGACCAATACAATTGGGTAACAGAAATTGCCTTTGAGGGGGCCCAGATGTGAGACTTAGCAAAGACTTCAAAGTAGCTATAATAAATATGTTCAAAGAACTAAAGGAAA